AATTACTGACACAGAATAAACATGCTTGTGCAGCATGACCAGGTCACAGCTTACTGCAGTACAGCTGTAGGTTAATTGCAATTTTCCCTTCCTGTGACTTATTCACACCCATGCCATGTTCCTAAGTATTAGTTTTGAAGATCTCTGAATTTCATTAAAAGTACAATTATTCTTGGGAAAAGAAATCTCATTGAATTAAATAAACATTATAACTCTATTTAAAATGATTAGTGGCTTTTCAGCAGGCCACAGAAAAATAGAGACAAGCCTCATTAATTTACAGTGAAAAGCATCACTTCTGAGATAACACTGTGGAGCAAGTATTTGAATGTGCAATTAATTACTTTTGTTCTGAGAGACTCAAAAATGAGCACGTATCTGTACCACTCATTGTAACGATTGTGTTTTGTAGAGCATGAGGATTTTCCATTATAGGGGTTACCTTGCAGTAGAGAGGTTTAGCACAGCCCTTGCTTACTTCTGTATATCTTAATAGGAAACATTTGTGTTTTAATTCTTCTGTAGTGCATGTGTATGTTTTAGGAGAGCTAGCTGCATAATTAGAGGAAGGTGGGGTGACCCTTCTTACACGGCACTCTGCCCTATAGGTGACGTTCAGGTGAGGAATTACAGCAGCAGCATTTGGTTCCCAAGCTGCAGGCCACCTTTGGGCTTCGCAAAGTGGGATCCCAAGGTTGTGATCCCACATCTCTAATCCAAAATTCTGTCAGTGTAGGTGAGAGATTGTGCTTCTGGAGACACAATTCTCCTCTTCCATACGAAGCCACTGCTGCCACCCATGGATGCAGCTGGTGGGACCAGCGCTTTACTGAACTTGAGTCTCACTGTCTTTCTCTCATTTCTTATGCAAGCTGTCAAGAAATGCTACCCAGAACAAAAGATTGAGCACTATGAACTTTACAAACCACAGATTAATACAAATTTCTCAAAACAATATGATATGATAGTCCTTTCTAGTGTAACCATTTCACAAATGTATCCAAAATCCTGATGTTCTGATGCTGCGAGCTCCAGTATAACAGGTTTTTTTAGTGAAGAACCATCTTTAAACTATTTACCTTATCTTTTGGCAAGGCTTTCAGGCAGCATCATGTTAACATCACTATGCGGCTTCCAAACTGAGCTCACTTAAATGCAGTCAGTTCAGAGTGTAGGCAGAAGGGGACCTTAATCTGGTCCTCTGTACTCTCCTCGGTGTCTGCAATGTGCCCAGCTTTGCCGTTGGTGCAGAGCAGAGAAGTAGATGGAGTTAAGCTGCCTAAATATGGCCAAATTGTCACAAAGGGAATTAAGAATTGGTTACTAGCACACTGTAAAACACCCAGACTTGCTATGTAAACAAGGCCAACACTAGTAAAAAAAAGGAATGATTGTTACATTTACTAATAAGTTGGGCCATTCATTTAATGGCCCAGCGATACACTATTCACTTAGCTAGATATTTTAAGCTGATTCAATCCTAAAAAAAAGAAAGAAAGATTGAATGAAAGAAAGAAAGAAAGAAAAAGAAATAATGTTCTTGGCCTTGAAAAGCATAGCTTTACATACACATCTTCTCTCATACCTCAAAATTAATATCCTCCCTATTCCCTACGCATAATTTTCAATTTCCCTTCTTTTGTTTGACTAATGAGACAAGGTAACGCTTCAGTTAAGACAAATTAATATTCAAATAGCTGAGAAGAAAGATAAATCAATCTAAGATTTCTTAGTGGTGCATTTTCTCTGCCTTTATTTGGGAAGAGCTCTAGGTCTTAAAGCTATAAGGTTTAGGAAAGTCCCAACAATAGTGCAGACAAAATTTAGCATCACACATACAAAGAAAAGTATGAACATAAACTTCCCACACTGGCCTATTCCCATGGTGTTTAGACCCTTCAAATACTTGTAGACATTTACCATATTTTCCCTTAGTCATCATTTGGCTAAGCTTATACATACTTAGGCCTTTAAGTCTTTCCTCATAAATCAAACTCTACAACCCATGATTACTTTTGTTACTTCTATCTGAAGCTTTGCCAGTTTGATGACATCTTTCTGGGATCAAGGTTTATTCCAAAATTTGCAGACAGAACTGTAATCATTGCTGCTTCTAGGGTCGGTCCCTAAGCTAGAGCCCATGATGTTTAAGAAAGGGATGGTGAAAGTACCTGAGGTGCAAGGAAAACAGTGGGAACTATGCTGCGTTGGGCACCTACTGGTGTCCTCAGCGAGGGTTCAGACCAAAGGGGAAGTGTTGCCTTCTACTAGATTTAATTTTGCATGTGAGTAATGCCTTGATGGAGTAAGAAATGTTGCTAATATTGCAGTCTGGTGGTTAGTCCTTGAGATGAGGGACAATATGCAGAGCAGAATTAAAAGCAAAGAAAGTGCCTGGTAGAGAATGGGAGGTGGAAATAAATGAGCTCATGCTTTCCCCATCTCAATCTCTGCTACTGCATTCCTGGGCTGAAAACTCTCAACTGCTTTTGGACCAGGCAGCAGCAATTGCTGCTGTGAGCAAAAAAAAAAAAAGCTGCTGGTGTGACCCAAAACTTCAGTATAATTAGAAAAGGACTGCATGCAAGGAATGAAGGTGATGCCATCTGGATACAAGCAGAGGAACAGAGCACACATCTAATTCGTACTGGCTTGGATAGATGCAGGCGGACTGAATGCTCGCTAAGCCTGAGGGCAAAGCAAAGCGATAAATGGCAAAGTACAGCCTTGGAGAGGAAAGGGGGAATTGCAGAGCTTGTACTGGAGAGATGGTGGCAAGCATCATCAGGAGGTGAAGGCAGCGAGTGTTCAACACCCTGCAGAAAAGGGCTGGGGCCTGACATAGGGCTTGCTGACTCTCCCTCCATTGACCTTCAGTGCGGAAACGGACCTGATGAGACCACAGCAAATTCTAGGAAGAAATGGTGTCATTTACCTCAAGGAAAAAAATGGTGAACATTCCTTTTAAAGTTTTACATTTTCTGTGGTTTTGGATGATTGGCAAAGTGGGTTTACCTGCAGAGTATAGGCTTTCTCATTTTCTCTTTGAGTATGAAGTACAGTTTGCCACTGCTTTCTCCTGAGTGAGGGGACATCTCACATCTTATCCAGTCTAGAAAGCAAGGTAAAACAAAATGATACACTTTGCTCATCCAGACTTCTTTTTCAATCCCACAATGTACAGACATGTTCCTTGCTGTGAGAAATTGCTGAAGGTAAGCTTGCTCACATTTGTCCACTGAATTACCAGGAAGATATGGGAAAAAAAAAATCAATGCAGAGAGAAGTTACTTTTTCTTTCCAAACACAGTAGAATTAAATTCTGTCAGCGAGAGATTGTTTCTAAAATACATTGTCAGATGTTGCTCATTTCCATGTGAAACAGGATCTCCTTTGCCAAATATGCATGGCGTGTTTGTTCCATGCTATGCATAGTGCTTATGGTGGGTTGCTATCATTGGTCAAATGAAAAATGAAGGCTCAGTTCCAAACTCTTAGTCACTGTTGTTCTGAATATGTGGAATCTCAAGGGAAGAAAACCAAGGCTGTCCTTTTTTAAGAAACCACAAGGGCCCATAATGACCATCTGAGGTAATTAAATGTAGTGATTTCTTAGAAACAATTTCATTAATTTTTCTTGAGTAATTTACATTACAAAGATAAATGCATTGTTAATAAGCGGAAAGTAAAATTTTGCTTTCAAATTTGTCCAAAAAATAGCTTTGTAAGGTAGGCCAATGGGGCTGTGTCCATCCCGGTCAGGTAAACCATCAGGGGATTAGCAGGGCACGTTAGCATGCTCTGTGCCACAGCTTTGGCTGACAGCCGCAAGCGCTCTTCCAGACGATGCTGGGACCTGATTCAAATGAGAGACAACCTTGGCCTATTTGAACTACCAGTAAAATCACCCCTGGAGAGTGCTGGGCTCCCCTCTACCTTGAGCATCTTGCACTCAGCATTTGGAGGCCGCATTATTCACATTCATGAGGACTGTATCTCCTTTAAAATTACCCTCTGGCTGGCTTACTGGCATGCGTCTTGAGAGTGAGTAGTGTGGACTAAATGGGAATTTTGTCAAAAGCTCGGATGGGGAGGAGAGGGTTAGGTTGCAGGGCTGGTCCCAGGCTTCAAGGAAATCTTTGTGGAAGAAGAAAGTCCATGTTTAAAAATTGCAATTTGTAATTCTCATTGCACTGATAACTGATACTGCTGAAATGCTCGAGCAACAGTTAGTCCACAATTATCAGAAGAATTTTATATAATATTCACTTTTAATTCACACATTTATCTTTTCTGCCTTATGTGCGTGTATAGTAATATTTGTTAGGCAATTGTTATCTTACCTCCTTCCAGTTCTTTATGTTGGTATTCTCCCCTTTTTCTCTATCTCTCTTTTCTTTTGTTAATATTGAATCATGAAAACATCAAATAGAAGTGTAGTTCTTGGCATTTAAAAAAAAAAAACCAAAACAACTTTATCCAACTTGGACTTCTGATATGAGTCTATCCCCATGGATAAGCATATTTTGGATTTAAGAATTTAGCAGTGTGCTCTCTCCTTTGTTACAAGGCTGCTATTAGTGGATCAGTGTGGCGTCCACCACTGTCATTAAAGATCAAGGCAAAACAAATCCAACTCTGAAATTACATTGTTATCAATCTCTTTAAAGTCCTGGAATAGCTTAAGTTTGTCTCAGCGTGCTCTGTCATCAAGCACCATGTATAAACACATCTTTTTCCCAAAGACCACAGCTTCTGCTCCGTTGGAACTATATTGAAAAGATTATTTTTTTCCAAAGTCACTACTACCATCAATAGTTTCATTCCCCAGCTGCTCTGAGCTCATTTGGTTTTGATGCAGTCTTTTCCAGAACCAATTTGGAATTTAAATGCAAATCTTAATGCATTATTTTGTGGTGTGTTTTAAAACTTAAGAAGGGCAGAAATATTCCTGTGCACAGAAGAGCTTAATGATGCCTTTTGTATTTTCATTTTTAAAGAGGCATTTGTCCCCTGAAGAGTTCCAAGAAGTCTTCAAAATGAGCATTGAGGAATTTGATCGTCTGGCACTTTGGAAGCGGAATGACCTGAAGAAAAAGGCCCTGCTTTTCTAGCCCCTCCCAGATAAAATATGTGCTTAATCAAAACAAAAATTGTCTTGCCAGAACTATCACATGCACTTGCTGTTGAACCACTGTCCAGCTTCATTGTGTTAGTATGTGTCGGGGGAAACAGGACAGATTAGATGGCAACGCATTGGAATACAGAGAATTTGCTAATCTTGCATGACCAGATGGTTTTGTCAGTAACTCCTGGTCCTACCCAGTTTACAATGTGCAAAAAATCTAGCTTTAAATTTATTGTTGCTTGCAGTTATTGCTTGATGCAAATGGAAATTATGAAGGGAAGAGAAAAAGTGTAGCTGTGACAAAGGAAATGCATCCAACATTTTGTTCCATTAATTTTTACAACACAATTTTTACAAAATCAAGTAAGTAATGAATATAAAATTCTCCAATGGGGGATCACATGCTATTGAAAATATGGTAAAAGCCAAAGAAAAGCATGTGTGCAAGCAATTATTGCAATTGTTTATGTGTGGTACTTTTTAAGAATGAAAGCAAAAATATGGAAGCACCTTAATTCTACTTCTTGTACTTTAGACACAGCCTACTCTCTAAAAGCTCCTATTTGTCTAGAAGGTAATTAGCTATCTTTAATTACAACACAAGAGTTTTTATTTTATTAAGAATATATTGTGACATAAAACAGTTATAATGACTAAAATGTATGCAGACCTACTTAAAAATTTAGTCCCATTCATCAGGAAAACTGAAGCCTTATACAAAACTGGTTTAAGAGTGTATTGTGCCAGTTAACTGTGTTTTCCTACTAGTTTGGGGTGTTTGGAGAAATTTTTTTTTACATTTCATGCTGATAAAAATACCATGTAATCTTAATTATATGTAGATAGAGATGCCTATCTATAACAGAATTATTTTCATTAATATATGTCCTAAGTAAAAACATTCTTACTTTTTCCACTTTCTGGCTTTACACAGTAAGCCATGAGATGGCAATTGGTAGGTGCGGAAATGAAACAGTTCAGCATAAAATGTAATAAAAAAAAGCTTGGTGTGCTCTATCAGTAATACATCCAATTATAATCAAATATATAAAATCCTCATGCATTACTATTTGCATGTTTCTGTACAAATCAATTTAAAGAAACAACTATGTGATACTGGTGCAGTACCTTGAAACTATCTTAAATAACAAGCAAAGCTAACAAAATCGAAGTGTTTGATGAGCGTTAGACTTTAATATCTCTTCCAGGTGAAAGACTGTATTAAATTTAATAATTTCATATGGTCAGAAGTATGGTTGCTGACAAAGAATGTTTTAAAGTGAGTTGCTAGTTTTGTGTGATACTAAAAGAGCATTACAAAAAGTATGTTTTTCAGCCATGTGTCAGTATTCTGCATTTTTACTGCCTTGAATGTTTGTACTCACTTCCTACTTCACTATGTCTTTTTGCATTTCCTTAAAGTAACTGGTTAATATATGCACTACAACACACTGTTTCACCTGACCGAGCGTCGGAAAAACCATAGCATCGAACATGCCTTCTTCCAACTAACTTTCAAAATCCATGCTGTTGGAAATAAATATTTTCTCATGACTTAAATGTTTTGTCTGATGATACAAATGTTTAAAAAATTCATTAAAACAAAGACATAACTGAATGACTTTGCTAACGTGTGTATAATTTTTAGATTGCACTGCTGCTCTGCATAGGGTCTTCCCACAATATTAATGTAAATAATATGTATTTTGCATTAGTCTTCTCAGTGGGGAGAGTGGTGTGTACCTCTGAATGTCAAGTTACTGTAAAGTTGGTCATGATTTAAACAATCCATCTAGCAACTGGCACATCTCACCAAGCAAAAGCTCCTTTACCGGTGATGTTCAGTGTACAGAACCATTGGCCAGCCTAAACTGAGAGCTCCTGATCACCTGTAGACTGCATCCATAATGCTCTTCAGCCTCAGAACAGCTTGTTATGTTTTGCCTACATGTGAAAACTGGCAGCGCACTGAAATGGGCCAGTCTAAAACATGATCAGCAAGGCCCATTGGTACTATGACAATCTAAATCCAGAAGAACAGTTGGTTGGAGAATGATGATCAATAAGTTTGATGTTGGTGAAGACCACCCTTTTCATGTAACACCTTACTGGGACATCAGATTGATTACAGGCATCTTATCCATGAGTAAAAAATTGCAGGTCGATCAAAGAAATCCATATACTGGTGCAGATTGGGTTCAATGTGGAGCTTCATAGATAATTTGAAAATTGCTTAACGACAGCAGCTGTTCTACTGGTGCAGGATTCAACCTATGCTGCAGGGAAAACATGCATTACTAAGCAATACATGTGATCAACAGCTCCATGCTGCGATTCTTTATTATGCAGATGTATAGCTGATGACAAGTGAGGACAGTGCGAGCATGTGAGCTCTGTTTGACTCATTTGTGCTCTTTTGAGCCATTTAGTCTGTTATAACATCAACAGCCTTAAAAGTGTTTCCTGAAGATCCTTGTCCTACCTGAGCTAAGTCAGATAGAACTCTTGTTTTACATCCCCCTATGTAGACATTTTAGCTCATGAGCATCAGTTTTTATCACAGCGCACAACTGTACCTAGGAGTGGTACCCCATCATCTATCTATATTTGCTTCCAAGTTGGTTTGTCATTCTGTGCTCCCTTTTATGGTCAGTGAAGAGAAAAAAAGCACTGCAATCACATCCTGATGTTCAAAACTAGTTCCGTGAATTCCACCTATCATATTTCTGTCCACTGAATATAAAGAAAGCTAATCCAATGTGTACTGCAGAAGTACACATTGCAAGCTATCTAATCTTAGATGAAATTAATTCTATGCCTACAGTCTGTAAGTGAAAACAGTAAGCCAGATCTTACCAGGTTGGTGAAATACCACTCTTGGAACCATTGGCAGTTCCTAAACCATGTTACCAAATCACTTTCAAGCCATCAGGACAGGACTTTGAATTGCACAGATCTCACAAAAGTCTTAACACAGTAATTCTTTGTGTTCATTATACTATTCACCAAACAGGCACGTATTCGATGCCAAACACGCAAAAATGTTTTAGAAGACAGTCAGTTTATCAACTTACGTTCCTGCTACCAGCCAAAACCAAAAAGGAATTTTGGCTTCCATACACAAAACCTTTGCTGACGTTAGATGAACAAGTACTCTTTTGTGTCCTTATTTCGTTTTCCTGAAAGTTTGAAATGGTCTGTAGATGTCTGTTCTGTGCAAAGGTGGCATAACTCAATGAGCTGTTCTGTTTTTCAGATGATACATGTCAGTGTATCACTCTATATTTAAAGCATGTACTGTCATATGGCATAGGGACCTATTTAGTTATGCTTTCTAGCCTAACTAAATTCTCATTTACAGTATGATATTGTATGCTGGATTTGGCACCAGCCAAATACACCAGTGTGAAAGGGCCATAAAGTGAGTAGTGTTGTAATTGACTTCACTACTAAGTTTTTTGTACATCACCTAACCTCCATACTCCAGAACATGGCATACCAGAGTATACATTTCTGTTTCTAAATTTTGTCATATTTTCCCCATTTAAAAACTGCAAATTGGAATTTTAGTCATGTAGTCTTCTTTCAGGAACTTACAATATCTTATTAAATGTGAATAGACTAACATGTGCATAATCAATGTTCTGGTTTATTTCTAGAGTTCCATATGCTAATCTTAAATACCATTATGAAATGGAAAATGCATTTCAGAGTAATGAGATAAATCTTTGCCAGAATATTCCATCTGATAGTGTGGTCCAGCATTGGCAGTAATTGAGAGTCTCAACAAATCATCGGCTGTTTTTTAGATAATTCTTTTCAGAGTTATTAAGATACTGTTCCATAGTCTTGTTTTCAAGGAAATTGTGGCTTTCAGCATTTTGGTAAGTGTGGATATGGCTATGCAGCTCAGAAGGATCAATATAGCTCTTGAAGGAACCTATTTTGATACGTATACAAGAAGCAAGGGAATTCTGTCAGAGATTTCATTTTCATACTTGGATCTGAGTTGTATGTCTCAGCTGTTCATGACAACCGTGATGTATGACCTAATTCTCACCTCATGTATTTTAAAGTAGGCATGTCTCAAACACAGCAATGAAAGAGCCAACTTATTTCATCATCATAGTCTTTAAGACAAAGGAACACATGGATTTTTGTGGTTGCTGAGGAATATCTGACCAACAATTCCAGATAGGAAACCAGGCGTGCCAGATTACCATTATAGCTGTCTGAGGAGGCTGGACACTTTTGTCTAACCTTCTGCTATTTCTTTTCCTTGTGGTACAGGGGAGAACTCTGAAAAATGGAATTGCAGAAACAAGAAAATACATAGTTGTCAGAAGCTACCTGGAATCTAATAACCCTCTGAGACAAGGCTAGTTTTACATGAAGAAAAAAAATAGTTCAGACCGAGGGACATGCCTTGTCTTACATTCCTCATTTTGATGAGGAACCATCTATTTAACATTTCCCAAATGTGACCAAGGCAGACCATTAATTTTATTAGCCTTTATTAGCCTTTTCACAGATCTGCAGGAAAATCCTGTCCCGCTGTTTGCCGATGAGCTAGGTGAGATCCCAGGCACTGCCGGCTGTATGGCCCATGGGCTCCAGGGTGTCCTTATATTCTCCTATCCCTTTGACTTGCGCGTGAGGAAAAGGATCATGTTTTTCCAAGCTTCCGAAGATCTAGACTGGCCCTTGACCAATGTGATTACTTGGTAGCTCACAGGCGTGGCTACCATTTTTTGGATATCTTGAGTATCTGAAAGAAAGACGAATGTTTTTAATATCAGTGACAGACTGCAACCCTCTGGTACATGTGAAATTATACTGGAGGCTTGTATTTCTTCATATCCAGGCCACCTCTGAGGTATGGCCAAATCCTCAAAGGCTCGCAGGAGGTGCCGGTTCAGGCTGTTTGAGTCTTTGTATCCCTTCTCACTTCTTCTATTCTGTGAAAAGCCATGCTAGAAAAGGTGGTACTCAGTAAAAGTTCATGCCTTTGAAACATTAGATCTCAATAGTTTACTTCTCTAGTAATGAAGCACACACTGCAAATTAAAGTTTGTTGGGTTATTGCAGCTGGTTATTATTCCCTCCTCACAACCACCTGCTGTGAGTTACAGCTAAGAGAAGTAAATAGTTACGTGTTTTTCTAAGTGCTCTTACTTCCATGATTTAGCACATTTTCTTCCTACAACTGTGTTTGATGCTTGACTACTATGCACGCAGGTATTTGTAAGTAGGTAGGTTCCATATTTTTTTAGATGGTCGAATAAATCTATGCAGCACTCAAGCAGTTTGGACCAGCCAGTAGTCCTTCCGTGCCAGACTGCCTGACAGCAGCAGCTCCAGAGTGATCGGTAGGAAACCAAAAATGGACAAAAGCAACGTGTCCCACATATCTAAATGTGTAAAGATTCAAGGCTTTAACGAAGAGGTTTACTGTCACAGCTATGATGTATTTACCATTTGTTAGAAGAAGTCTGGATATCCTTGATTTCTGTTTCTGAATCTTCTTGTGTCCTGAATGAGTTGCTGTTGACCTGTTTTCTCCACTTGCTATGATGCACTCCTTTATTAGATCCTCTAAGTTCTCTCTCCACTAAAAATTGCAATATTTTCAGCTTCTTTTGAGATTAAAACCTTTCTTTGCCCTTGGTAATTCTTCTGCAAGTTCCTCTCAGCCCATTGTACTTTGTATTCA